TTTAGTTCTTCATCAAGGGCTAGTTTGGAGGAGCAAACTTGAAGAGCACTGAAAACATAGGAATAAAATGAAGATAACTTTTGTTTAGTCGGATGACATGATTTAAAGTGTTGTGGAAGGCAAACCGATAAAGGTTTACGGTAAAACGTAGTACTGAAGTTGGATGTGTTACGTGTGACCAGAATGTCGAGAAACGGAAGAGAATTTCAAGTCTCAAATTCAAAAGTGAACTGAATAGCAAGATCAATAGAATTCATTGTTGAAAGAAATTTATTTAAATCATCTTTATTACCCTCAAACCGGGTAAAAGTATCGTCTACGTAGCGGAACCATGCCGGGAAGTTTAACGTTTCAAACAATTTTGATTCATAATAATGCATGTAGATATCAGCCAGGATGGGACTGAGGGGGCTTCCCATGGCTAATCCCTCAGTTTGCTTGTAATATTTATTTTAGAAAACAAAATGTGTTTGTTTCAAACAGAGTTGAGTGAGGGAAATTAGCTCATCAATTTCGATGCAAGGGAAATGAAATTCGCGAAGTCTGGTTTCTAGACATCTTAATGCACCCTCCACTGGAACATTGGTGAATAATGATTTTACATCAAAAGAAACCATGAGTAAATTTCTAGTGGAAATGTTTTTAACCTTTTTTACAAATACATTGTATTTTTTATGGTGTAAATGTTATTGTCTAATAGAGTTAAAAATCTAGAAACTAAGGGATACGAGGAAGTACCTAAGTGGAATACAATAGTTCGGAGAGGAATACCACTTTTATGAATTTTGAGAAGAGAATAAAATATGGCACAATTCGCAACAGATGGGATAAGCGAATGTTTTAAGTTGCTTGAAATGATTTGTGAAGATTTGATCGCATTTTTTATTTTTGACAAGTCCGAAGGTGAAGGATCCTTAGGGATCGGATTATATGGTCCTTCGTTTAAGAGTTTAGTGACACCATCCATGTAAGTGTTCTTATCCATGACGACTATCTGGCCACCTTTTGTCGGCCTTTGAAATCATAATATCCGGGTTAGAATGAATTTCGCGCATTGTAGCTCTTTCTCTCGCAGTTAGATTTGGTTTCAAAGGTTTATTATTGAATTTCACATTAAATTTTACATAAGATGCCTAATCATTTCTTTCTGTGAATCTGAAACCTTACTGAACTTGAAAGCTTTTTCGATTGGAGCCAAAATCTTTGGAATCGAGGGTTTACAGGTTTGTGAGAAGTTAAAAGTATATTTTAGAATTCTCTCTTGCTCATCTGAAAGACTAACATTAGGAAATATTAACTATTGGCTTCATGTTTACAATGGGAAGACTTTTTTGAACTACTTGAACTGGAAGACTGTAAAAGAAGTTTTTGGAATTTAATTGCAACGGTGTTTTTATTACGGTTAACTGCATTCTCCGTTCTAGACCAAGACTTTTGTTCAAGGGCAGTGAATTTTGGATATGAATTAGCGAGTTCCAGATGAAGCTTATAGAGTTCATGTTCAATTTTGGACAATTGTTGACATGTATTCCTTATGATGGACTTCTTCTGTTGCTCAACATTGTTGTCCGAAAATCACACTTTAAATTTTTCTGCTGCCAAAATTATTCAAAAAATATCTTCCATTGGATAACTGGATATTCTAGAGGCATTTCACATTCAAAAAAATCTTTCTCTTCTAGTTAACGATCCTAATTCCAATCCATCTTTGACTTCGGCCTTTAAAGAGTGAGTGAGTGAGTGAGTGAGTTTTGTGGCGCAAAAACCAATGATGATTATGATGCGCCAAACAAATGGTGTCGACCTTTAAAGAAATTGTGTTTTAGTTCTGGTTTCACCAATAGATGGCGCCACTTGCTTATTCTTATACAGGCTTTCTTATCTTATCTAATCATTATTTCCTATCTTTTTCATTTGCGGTTTTGTAGCTGAGGATGGTGGTTCGGTAAAAACGATCGAAACTAGACCTGTGAAAATTTTGAAAATATAACGCTGATTTTTGTTGTTTGACTTCGTAATTAGTATTTATTCGGCGTGTTATTGTGTCTTAATTATATGCCTCATGTTCCCTGACGCGAAATTTTAAGGCTCTCTTAGTTTAGCCAATGTAAATTAAACCATACTGGCAAGGAATCCTATAAATACCCCAAGAATTCATATCCGGAATGGGAATCCTTGAGTATGGGAACTCGGGATTTTATTGAACCCGGGAAGGGGGAATAAACAAAAAAAGTTAAATTTTCTGCAAAATATGGCAACTTTAAAGGGAATTGAAGGGAAGGGAAAACATAAATTTTATATTTTATTTTGCAATCGAAAATTGATGATGAGCTATTCTCTCAGTCAACTCTGTTTGAAACAAACATATTTTTGTTTTCCAAAATAGAAATTACAATCAAACTGAGGGAATAGCCATGGGAAGCTCCCTCAGTCCCATCCTGGCTGATATCTTCATGCATTGTTATGAATCAAAATTATTTGAAACTTTAAACTTCCCGGCATGGTTCCGCTACGTACACGATACTTTTACCCTGTTTGAAGGTAATAAAGATGATTTAAATAAAGTTCTTTCAACAATGAATTCTATTGATCCTGCTATTCAATTCACTTTTGAACATGAGACTTGCAATTCACTTCCGTTTTTCGACATTCTGATCACACGTAACACATCCAACTTCAGTACTACGGTTTACCGTCAAATTTCATCGGTTTGCCTCAACCACACTTTAAATCATGTCATTCGACTAAACAAAAGTTAGCTTTATTTAATTCCTATGTTTTCCGTGCTCTTCAAGTTTGCTCCTCCAAACCAGCCCTTGATGAAGAACTAAATTATTTAAAAGCAATAGCTATTGATAGGGGTTTGTCACCCAACATTATTAATCAAGCAGTTAAAAAATTCTCATCTCAATACACTAAAAGGCACATTCTTGTTTTAGGAGAGTATAAAAATTATGTTGCCATTCCCTTCTTTCCATCAATTAGCTATAACGTTGCACATATTTTGCAGAAATTTAACTTTTGGGATGTTTTTTCTCCCATCAATAAATTTCCGAGTTCCATACTCAAGGACCCCATTCCGGATATGAATTCTTGGGGCATTTATAGGATTCCTTGGCAGTGTGGTTTAATTTACATTGGCCATACTAAGAGAGCCTTAAGATTTCGCGTCAAGGAACATGAGGCATATGTTAGAAAAAAGGAAACACAGAAGTCTTCTGTTGCTCAACATTGTTTATCCGAAAATTACACTTTAAATTTTTCTGCTGCAAAAATTATTCAAAATACATCTTCCATTGGAAAACTGGATTTTCTAGATGCATTTCACATTCAAAAAAATCTTTCTGTTCTTGTTAACGATCCTAATTCCAATCCATCTTTGCCTTTGGCCTTTTAAGAAATTATGTTTTAGTTCTAGTTTTACCAAAAGATGGCGCCACTTGCTTATTCTTGTCCAGGCTTTCTTATCTTATCTAATCATTATTTCCTATCTTGTTCATTTGCGGTTTTGCAGCTGAGCATGGTGGTTCGGTAAAACCATCGAAACTAGTCCTGTTACTATTTTGAAAATTAACGCTGATTTCTGTTGTTTGACTTCTGAATTAGTACTTATTCGGCGTGTTATTGTGTCTTAATTTATGTTGCCTATTCAAGAGTTCGTGAAAGAACGAACGTAAAATTAAAAATAATTGATGTTCCTCTGCAAGGCGAGCTTAAAAATGATGGAAAGATCTACACAAGAAATGTTGTGTACAAAGAGATCGTTGACATGTGAATTAACATTTTATTATTTAAATCACCTTTATTTATTGAGCTAGCGGTGGCTCTTAAGAAATGTACCACCAGTGGTTTCTTTCATTGCACTCTTCTTTAAGCAATTAAAAAAGTAGAAGGGGGAAACCCCGTGGGGCAGTAAGCAAATAAATTAGGAGACAACTTTGCACAAATCTTTTTAATTACAATTTATAATGTCTAGAACAACGGTCATTCCGTATGACCGCCGGGCTTTCTAGTATAATCATAATATACACTACGATTTACGACGCACAGTTCTGTTGCATAATGGGTATTCTGCTTCGGTTTCATTATGTACATTATACATAATACTTAGGTTATATATTTATGTCCTGCATTTGTTATTTTTTACATTATGCTGCAGTTATAATAGTCACAGTGCAAAACGTATAATCGAGTATATCAAAATGAATTTTTATCCTTTTCTGTGTGCAAAGCAGGCAAATAAAGGATGACTCACTGATTACTCTCATTATCATTACATGGGTTGGGCTCATTTTATATAAAATCAGTGTCACAGGCTCATGTAGGCATAAACCATTACAGCTGTTTAATATCATAAAAATTCAACGTTCACAAAATTACAGTTCTGTCACAAAATACAGAAACATTATTAGCGTATCATTAGAAACAGAAATATACATAAAACTGTCAGTATTTGTATGACTGTATCTTGTATTGTGTTCTATGATTGTATTTTGTATTTGTAAACACATAAGTGTGTTACTAACGGGAAAAAAAAATCAGTGTATTCTTCACGAGAAAGTTAGTTCTGAGCAATGTCTATCATTGATATGACTATAATTAATAATAAATAGAAAATTTAACAGGAAAACATGTCATTTAAAGCACGTAAACTCACATGGCGATAACTAAAGTTAAAATAAGCTAAAATAAACTCCAAATACAGACTTTTTTGGGTATGTTATATAATATTTTCTAACGTAGAACCTTGAAACTTATCATATTGATTCAATTTGAGTTATACTAATTTATTTATATTTTGATAAAACACGCAAGGACTAAATATCTGAGTTATACCGTAATTTTGATTGAATATGCCTTGAGGATAAATCACTCAAATTAGAGCATAATTACGTTCATATTTGTACGTTTTCCTCAAACGTAAGTTACAGAGGCAGCAAGCTGCATGAGGCTATGGACAAAAGTAAGCATAAAAAGTAGTTAAAATCAAACACATTTACCTTTTCAAGTTTATCTTCATATGGAAGTAACATGCTCGTAGCACCGTAGTAGACCATGTAACGAATATCTGAGATGTCTATGATCTGCTGCAGATTAATAACATTCAACCCTCTAGAATCAGTAGATGTCATACCATGGTCCGACACCACTACCATGTTAACCTAAAGATAAATGAAAGCAATGATTTTTATCTCAATTAATCTTTCCAGAACAAGAGATTTCAGTGCATAGAAGTAGATAAATATTTACATGCACAAATATATACATCGAAAACGCTGCATAAAAATTGCATGTTAAGAGTCAGTTTTTTCTCCAAGCTGAAATTACTAAAATACTCCAAGCTGAAATTAAGCATGTTAAATGATAGATGCAGTGTAATATAATTAATATGAAATAAATTATTTTAGGTTCTAAGGTATTTCTCCCGCCTTCTTATCATGGCTTCGTAGTATAGTGGTCAGCACGCTCGACGCGTATTCCAGAGGTCCTGCTTTGAAAAAGTACCTGATGACTCTACTATGGCGCCCGAACTAAAAGGGGTTTGGACGATGAATCTCGAACCCCAGGATTTGGGTCTCCAGTCGCCCTTTAAAAGGTGGAGTATAGAAGGTATTTCTCCCGAACTTCTCAGTATGCCTTCGTAGCTCGTATTCGAGAGGCCCGTGGTTCGTGGTTGAAATCCCGGCGAAGGCGTTGCTCATTTTTCATCTCTCCTGCTTCAAAATAACCTAATGTCTCTACAAGGTTAGGTTATTTGAATAAGGCAAGACACTAAAGTGCTTCATCATTACACTAGTGCCTGAAGCGAAAAATATATCCGAGAAGAACTTTTTAAAGAAAACTTGGAAACTGGACCGTATTTACGCTACAAATGACGAAAACAATGAACACAACCTTCCAACCAATTCGAAGATGGAAGATAAATGCAAATAAATCATATCCTAATCATTCAACAGTAACCAACAGGCAGTGCAAAACGTGCAACGGTATACATATACGGAATCAGCCAAAGCCCAGACTGAAAGAAAGAATTGTTCATATTGTTAAAAGCAAAAATAAATACATAGTATTAAAAGATATCCTAACTTTCTCAGAAAAGAATTTTCTTTCTTTTTTTCGTTTTAATATAATTAAATTTCATTTCTCCCAAAATTCTCGGTTATTTCCAAAAACATTTACAGCTGGATTTTAATTAACCTGTTGTACCGAATATTTCCTAAATTTTAAGTTAAGAATAGTTACCTCTGATGTTTCATTAAAGCTTTTAATATATAATTCTCCTTATTAAGGCTTGATGCATTTCATTGTCATATTTTTTGTCACTTTATTGTCTAATTTGAAATATGATTTATTTCCATGGTGGTGAATGAAGGGATTTTGTTATTCCACCATGGAAGTCTTGTTTCTATTTCTTTAGAGAAATTTCTGACGTTTCTAATAGGTCACTCAGATGTTTAATTTATAGTATAAAGTATTTCTCCCGCATTCTTAGCATGCCTTCGTGGTGTAACGGTCAGCACACTCTGCGCGTATTCGTCAGATCAGAGGTTCGAGTCCCGGCGAGGGGATTGCTCATTTTTCACGTCCTTCAGCATCAGAAAACCTAACGTTATCTACAGTGACGCCAGAACTAAAATAGGAGCGAATAATGATTTTCCACCACCAGGATTAGGTCCCCTAATCCTCAGTCGATCTTTAAAAGGGCAGTATAAAAAATATTTATCCCGCCTTCTGAGCAGAATAGTGTAATAATCAGTACACTCGGCGCGTATTCGAAAGGTCCGAGGTTCGAGTCCAGGCGAGAGCATTCCTCATTTTTCACGTCTCTCAGCATCAAAAATTCTAATGTCTCTACCATACCCCAGTTGAAATTTTTAAAGATCATTTAAGAAAGACAGCGACACCAAAACCCGAAACAAATGGATTAATGATGTTGCTGGCAGTAATGGCAGATATAATAGTAAAAGCACTAGGTGATATCGAATTTCATTGGATTTATTAATTATGACAAAACACACTAGGGTAAAATGGGATTACACGTTCGTGGAGAATATTCTAAGGGTAACTTCTTGTATTCAGGTTTAAACTGGTAAGACCTTGAAACCTGCCCTGCAGCCAGCCTATTCGGCAGAATTTGAGTATGATTCAAACAATTAGAGTTCCAAAATCTTACAGACATGAGTATGTGAGTTCGACAATACACAGAGTGTGGAACTACGATCAATGCAGTGCACAGGCCTTGTAAGTTTCAAATAGATGGCATGTCCCATATGGAAGAACTCTTAACATATATAAAAGAAATTACGGTACTATCTTTCACACCACCCCAACCATAAGAATTGTACACAACACAGAGCAAATATCTGTAAATTAACCTCAATTAGGCCTCACATTGTCAAGGAGGAACACAACAGTTTTGCAATTTGCCAATTCTGGTCTTTTCTCTTTGATTGCTTCATCCAATTTAATAAGCTGTGGCAGTAAATATCTGATTAATCGTTTCATTGCTTGGAAGCAGCTGGGCATTGTTGAAATAGGAATTCAGTTGTTCGAGAAAGGCTCATTACAGAGCTTTTCCCATCAAAAGTGATTGCCGGTTTAATGGCAGCCCTTTTTATGTCGCTAATAAATCCAAATCTCTCCATAAGATTAAATGTAAGATTAACTCCATAAGATAAACTTGCGACGCTGAGGGGTCCTACTAAATCTTGGAGTCTCTTGCGACATGATTCTCTTCAAAGTTCGGACTCCAGTGTGGAGTTTGATCAAGTAGCGTAAAATAGACCCAAACTCTGAAAGACTATGATTTTCACTATGTCTTGTAAGTACCACAGAGACAGGGAAATGGTGTGAAGATCCCTGTTATAAACTCAAATAAAAGATTAACAAATGGCAGAAACTCGTGCTTACAGAAACCAAAGGTTATAGCTTAAATCTATGCTAATGGATTACTAAACACAAGAAAATAAAGCTTCACAACTAAAATAACGCGCAGGCAGACTCTGACTTAAGATCGACGTAAACAGGACTAATGACGAGAATAACACAACTCCGCAGAATACTGTTCGCAAGAGAATCAAATTCGTAACGTGGCCCTCAATCAGGAAAAACCTGTCTTCTAAAACCTTCCTTTAAATACCCTCTTTCTGCCTCATTTGAATATCCCACGAGCTAGAAATTTATATTCTGGCAGGAAAACGGAAATTAGAATTATAGGACAGAAATTAACATAAAATAATTGATTAGAAACTTAAGTGTGAACATACCATAAAACAAGCTAATATCAGCTGGGAAAGTATAAAGAAGAAATGTAAAGCAATACGTAACTTTAATATAGCGTCCGCACCGTTGAGTAAAGATATTTGTTATTTTTGTAGACGTTTTGTGTGTGTGTGTCTGTTTGTGCACCTTAGAACAATGCGATTGGCATATGTCAAAAGGGTGCAAAAGACGGAATGCTAAAATCCTTAAACTTTTCTTTTCATCTGAAAAAAATAGAGTTCAGTCATAAAAAGTGCTTTAATTATTCTTCGGATATACTATAAGGCTAGGTATAATTCAACTTAAATTTTCCTTTTCTGGGAGAAAAGTTAACATTTTCTCAAATTAGTCCCACATTGTATTAATGCATTCAAGAAAGCTGATATAATATGATTCTATCCTATACTATAGATTCGATAATCAAGGATAAAATTTATGCTAACAGAAAGCAAACAAGGTTTTGTATATATCGTTATATTGAGACTAGTTATTACATCGATCATTGTAGTACTCGTAATATGACTCGATCATTGTAGTACTGTAATGCTTAACATACAGAAATTAACGTACAGATATGCTTAACGTACAGAGGTAAACATACAAATATCACCATGAAGAAGAACTTTTGCTTTCTGCTAGCGGTTCTCAACTTTTTTTGTTCCACTCACACTCTCTTAAGTAGCATCTAATTAGGCAAGAATCTTGTGGAGACGTAAGCGACTATCTCTATACCTAAAGGAAAAGCAGAGTAAGAAGGGTGTGAAAGACCTTTTCTTCAGAACTCAAATAACTGAACAGAAGGCACTTCTTTTTCTTACAAAATAAGCCAGCATTTATGGCATAATTCAAAAGATAGAATTTCAAATTAAAGTTAAGTCTTAGGTTAGCCAAAGGCTACAAAGAAATAATTAACGCGCGAGTTGGCTGGAGGCTACACTGGCTCCAGCCACCTCATGCGTGACTGCACTGGCGTGACAAGCACTGTTTGCAAGAATGAAGCAACTCCGAGTCAGAATGCTAACGTAGAATATCAACTAAACATGTGGCCTTCAGAAGGTGGAACACGCTAAAGAATCTGAAACTTCCCTTTAAATACTGTCTCTTTCTACTTCATTTAAATAAGCGCGATTTAAAATTTACATTCTGGCAGGAAAACGGAAAGGAAGATGTGACAGCAAAGATGCTGTAAATAACTGGTTACATACGTGACACTAAATATGCTATACATAAAAGAACTGACGAAGTTAAATATGTTAAATATGTAATGTTAATAAATACCAAATATTGAATAAAAGTGGTTTGTTATATTATTAAAATAAAACTAAATACTTAATAGGTAGACAAACGGTTGAGCTCATCCTCCTCTTGAATCTATGAAATTTCTACTGCTTTATACCGTAGGTGATCAGGTTCTTATATGCTTTTTGAGTACAACTGGTGTAGTACATTCTAATACTAAGTAAAAGTAATGGTGAAAATTCTCTCAGAGTGCAAGTAATATTTACTTTCACAGAGGAGAAAAAGTAATATGAGGCACAGTAGGTCGGAATGTGTGTTTGTCTGACAGTGGTCTGAAATTCCAGTTACATGCGGGCCGAATGCACGATGTGAGAACATGGGACAGACCGTATTGTTTTATTAATAAAAAGTAAGTTTAGATAAATAATATGCATAAACAATATGAGAACATGGGACAGACCGTATTGTTTTATTAATAAAAAGTAAATTTAGATAAATAATATGCATAAACAATAATAAATATTATTAAGGAAAAGAAAAAGATTGAAATCTATACATGTACTGTATCCGATATCTGAAGTTTGGAATCTGTAAGAAATTTCTGTTAGTAACATTATAATTAAAACTTATTGATGGCTAAATATTAAATCACACTGAATTTATATCAAATAATTCTAATATGTTGAATTAACCAATAAATAGTGTAAACCGGAAACAAACAAACTTCTCAAGGGGAACAAAAATGTAAAATAAATAATGGCACCCTATTCTCTTTTATTTAATCTTTCTTCGATACATGCAGTAAAATACATATGTTTGCATGTCAATAATTATAAGCTATTTATTTCTTAATATAACTTCACACTTAATGACGGTTCAACTTTTATTAAGTTAGCAGCCTTATCAATTTATCAGAGACAAATCTTTAGAAACTGTCTTCAATACGGATTGCTGTTCACTGTTAACTTCTAGCGGAGGAGCAAGCGGTTATAATACTGTAGGTTCCTTGCTGGTACTGAATAGTACTAATGATAATCTTCATCATGAATTGTAGATATTACTTGCTCAGTTAGGTTTTTCTTTCATAGACTTACTAATTTTTAATTGAAAGTAAAGCTATTCACATGCAAATTTATTTTCAAAGCTATTCACATTTAAATGTATTCCCAAACAAAGCAGTAATTTGTAATGCAAAAATTCGTAGCTGAAGATATTTATCTTTTAACAAATACTAATAAAAGTTATTCAAATCTTTGAGTAAGATTTTTGTAACACTGTACATTAGTTAGTACCATTTGTAGATTTTCTGCGGCAATTTTTCTAGTTCCTTTTAATGGCAGCTAAAAAAGTTTAAAGTCGGACTCCAAATTATCAAAACCTTTAAATCTTTCTTTAAGCTAATGCCATTTTATTGCATAGTGTTGAGATTTTTCAATTGAAATAATAGGATATAAGACTTATATTTAAGACTTATTTAAAATATATGAACATTTTTCTATTTCAGTTTCATTTCCCAGTTTAATATTAAAATACAAACATGCAAGTCAGAATACAAGCATACAAGTCAGGGAAAACTTTATACCTTCCTTGGAGCTCTTTATTGAGAATATTAAAAGGACTTGTCAAATTAAAAAGAAATAATAAACCGGTTACCCATGTATTATTTTGATGGTTTTAGTTTGCACCATGAAAACTTTGATTTTTTATTAAATCAAAAACTTCCTGAGTACAGCTGCTGGATTTTTTTTATTAAATTAAAAAAGGTTTGAATACAGTTGCTCGATTTAACTCCCTCATCTCGTTATGATAAATAATTTCTCCGTATCTTCCAGCAATGCAGTAAATTCCCGACTAGTCAGGACATGTTCATAGATAATGTTTAATGTTTCAGTTACTGTTTCAAAATATAATTAGTGTGAAAATTTTAAAACACAATCTTGCTGAGAAATAAAGCAAAGGTCTAGCGAAAAATAATACTGAAAATTTTCATCTTTCATTATACTCCTTAATTTTTCCACTGCTTCAGTTTTTATTAATTATAGCAATTACTTGCAAATCCAACCATTTTATCGAAATTAATTTGTATTTATCTAACACAGATTTTATTTCAAGAAAAGTGTCCTGTGTCTCTTTTTCTCTTTCATAGGAATTACTTCCCATAAATATCCAATTATTTCACTTTCATCAGGAAACACCTTGTACAAAAATGGCAAGTTGTATTGTAATGTGTACTCTTATCAAAAGGCTACAAAATCTACATTTTTTGTTCATTTAACGAACATCGTAAGTCATTTATGATTTCCTTACTAAGTTTCGCGTTTCGCTACTGTAGGGGCGCTAAAGGTTTTATTTTAAAGAAACTATTGTTTTTTAAGACAGAAAGGTTCAGAAGACTTCATCAAACTTCTTTGAGGAATTCTACATCAGTAAATAATTTTGATCCTTTCGCTAATAATGTATGAGGATAACAAAGCTATACCTCATTGAATCTATTTGTTTCAATAAAAAATACTTGTTATAGTTATGCATCAGATTTCAGAAACTGTAACTTTATTCCCTCAGTTGGCCATTCTATGTTTCTAATTTTTCTTTATGTTTCATTTTCTAACACTGACACAAACTATTCTTTTAGAGTTAAAACTGCTATACAAGTCGTTTTGGGCACATCACCAAAAAAATACATAATTTATTATTTTGCTTGGAAATATACATAATTTACCTTTTATCTTGACATTCTTTTTTGTCAGCTTTTTGTATAAAATTTTGTTTAAAACGTGGTTTATAGTTTAACCTCTGAATTAAAATCATTTTTATAAGTACATTCGACTAACTATCTAGTGACTGACTCAAGGAAAGTTTCTATCAGAAATATCAATTCAGCAGAGGGAAAAACAGAAAACACGGTAATACTGTAGTGTCTCCAACTATCGTCTGAAGAGACAAATTGTTTTACTGCCATGGGATGTTTTCTCGTCTTATCCCGGTCACGTGGTACAAACATACTGTGTTAAAGACAAAATCTTAAATGACTCATTTGTTTCTTTGTCTTTCGATAGCAGTCCCGTACATAAGCTCACAACATCTACACCATACATAAGCACCTAAACCGTAAGCATCGTATTTACAACAAACACATAATTGGAAATGTATTTGCTTCGGGCCACCAGTTTGAGTCTAGTTACTGTTAATTCTGTTACTTTAAAACTGGTTAATATTGTTAGCCTGCCGGTTCGGGAATGTTACTTCATGGAACAATTCTCATTATGCTCATCATTTCCGTCTTCAGGCGGCCAGATCTGAATGAATGAGCTACGCTGATGCAATGAATGCAATGAAGTACGCTGATGCAATGAAGTACGCTGACGCAATGAACTACGCTGATGACGGTCTGCAGTGTAAGCTTCTGAAAAGTAAGCATGAAAGTATAATAACGATTTTTCAACTGCCCTCCTTCATTACAGCCAATGAAGCGTGAGGACTGTTAACATTTAATCAAAACTTAGTAAACTATTGCTCTCTTTCATGGCATAATGCTTGATTGTACAAAGCTAAATAGCTAGAATTCATTAAGTCATGAATTGAACTGATGTTAAATAACTTTTACTTAAAATGCATCAAATCAGTTATTAAATATAAATCATATTTCAATGAAATGCAAAAGTCAGTATAGTACGAAGAGTATCAAAAGAACCAAGATATTGTGATTCGGAAATAAATAATATTTTTAATAAAATCCTTGTGAAATAAGCTTATAGATATCAAGTTAGATGCCTGGAAATTAATGATAAATAATAGTGTTAAAGCAATGCAAATGAAAGTTCGTCTAAACAGTTTTATATATGAGTACGAAAATTTAAATACTTTCAACTATGTATTTACATTAACTGAAAATTCAAAGATTACTGCATTATAACTATGCCAGAGAGCTCTATATAAACATTTTTATACAATTTTGAAAGTACTCATTAGTCTTAGACGGAATTATACTCTTTGACGTATTAAAGATTTTGACAATAAATGTAAGCTATTTCTTTAATAGTATAATCCTTAGTTACTGCAATCGATTTCTCTTAGTTAAAATCATCTTTGAATACAGCGTTAAACAAATATTCCGATCGGATTCCTTTCGAAAGGGCAATAATGATTTGAGAAATTGGATGGAAAATTCGTCTTCTCTTGTTATATTCATCCTTTTCATTTGTTAAACTGTAAGGATGACAAAAATCCATTTATGGTTTGATTCTGTGCCAGAAGAGTATTTCTTCGGTGAAAGCTTTACAAATTGCTCTTAATGAATACCTCTGAAGTTCAAAATGCCTAGAGTAAAAGTTTCCCATTTAACTGCGAAGCGATACTTTACACTACTATGTAATTAAATATATACGTGGCATTATAACTTGCCGAGAGTGATGTAATAATCAGCTTGAAATTTAAAAATACACATTACTGCTTATCAATTAAATACACTGGTTTAATAGCAATTGTTACGCATATTTAAAATATTTACTTTTATTATCACGCTTTTTTTATTTTCCAACCGTACTAATACATTACTTATTAATGGCTTTTATGAACATTATACATCTTCATAAATTACCTTATATACTTCCCCTTTTTAAAGGTACTACGGATTAGGGGCCCAGTTCGCCAAATCCTGGTGGTGTCGAATTATGTTCTACCGCCTTTTTCAGTTCGGGCACCACTTGCAGACACATTACGTTATTTTAAAACAGGATACATGAAAAATGTGGAATGCCGTCGCCGGGACTCGAACCTAGACCTATTGAATGCATGCTGAGTGCGTTACCATTACACCACGAAAGCGTGCGGGAAGGAAGGAAAAATACCTTTAACTGGTTAAAAAAAAATCGCTTTATGCATGTAATGGCATTCGAGTTTATATTTATATGCTAATGAATAATGAAGGATTATTTAATGTTTTCTTCACAGTAGCATTATTCTCAGAATAAATAAAAACCAGTAATGTTAAGGATAATTAAAGATAAGTTTAAATACAATTACGTAACAAACAACCTCCAGTATAAGATGTCGCATTATTATCCGTAGCACGAAGATCTATAACTTTCCGCCAAACATAGTCTTTTATGAGTTTAGTTATTGGCTCACATTATGCACATAACTGGGCTCAGATATAATGGACCATTAAGGTCAGTTTTCATCTAAAGTGGAAGCAATTACAGCCAGTTTGCAAGACCGGCCGGTTTAGCAATCATTTCCATTATCATTTTAGTAGTATCAGCAAATAGTTGGAAAATCGTAGAATGTTAGGCAAATTGGATATTAAGAAGTAAGTACCTTACTGTCCAGTCCTCTCGTCGCCATTTCTCTTTGCACCAAGTCTAAAAGGTTGTCGATGTCTTTGACTGCGTGTTTCCTTTCATCGGAATTGGGGCCATATTTGTGGCCTGTAAAGAAATACGCTGAAAGTGAATCATAACCAACAAAATTCGGGAAGATAAGAAACATTTATTCTTGTAATAACACAATGTAAATTAAGATGATTTTCTTATTTTCTGGTTTTTGGTATAAAAAATGCAAATTAAATATACACTTTTGGTAAATGATAATGAGCAATTAAATTTCATTACATAATATTTCATATCAGATCTTTCGGAATTATGTTAAAGACTTAAAGGTTGATATTATCAATAGTAACAAATTATGCAAAATTTCATATGAAACAAATTATGCTTAAGTACATGTTTTTGCTGAAACGTAGTACTGTAAGTGTGACAAAAAAGAAATCAGACTTAGCTGTTTAAGCTAGTGCCTCAGCTTTAAATAAAATCATCCTTAGATTATTATCCCTTATTCGAACTTTTCCTTTCAAATCATTACCGATATAAATTTGGTTATTGATTAAAGAACTATTTTTAGAATGTACATTATCGATTGATTTTAATTTTCGTTTATACATTTCCTACCTTAAATTTTACGGCCAATAAAAATAATATTTTTGTATTTAGTTTAATAAAATTTCAATTTGAAAATTAAATTATCCAAATAACTTTGGAAAATAAATTTCATTCCAGACTACCTGATATTTTGGTTAATATTTTATAAAATATTTCGTAGACTGTCTTTCGAATATTTCTTGAAGAAATTCTATATTGCTCAATAAACAACTGAGATAATGTATTATTTATCTACACTGAATTTATGAAAATAATTTGGAAACAAGTAAAAACGTGTACAACTTAAAATAGATTTTTAAAGTATCTTTCACTGTATTTAAATTTGAACTTAATAAAAATTTCCATAAATGTGCATTTTATCTTTTAACCCAAAACATTGATAGCCGTTTGGTAAACGTAATAAAAATTATATTCTTCCCGGTTAAATGAAATTTTATTTAAAATATTCAATTTCCCCTAAAAAGCAATAAACTTATCAAAATACAAATTTATTTTTAATCTCTGAAACTTCAAATAACGAAATTTAACAGAGGAATAAAAGTTTTAATAAAATACAGCAACAGATTATTTAATCGCATACTACTTCAAAAACACTTGGATTAGGAAATTGCTTTTTGAAGGATGAGTTCCAGTAAAGTTCAGTAATTTGTTTCCATCTAGAACAAATATGAAACAATAAAATGGTAAGATGAACAAACATTTCAGTTTGGGAAAGTGTGTATGCGTGATATTCACAGGATGATAAAGGGGATTGACAATCACACAGTCTTTTACGGAATGTTCTCTCTGCGAGATTTATGCAGTCTGGGTCCTTACTCGTATTTTTTTCCTCTCCGTGATGAGATCTGCGTGTGGTGGCTGATGATGAGTGTCTCCGATTCGTCAACTTACGGGCAGCAAGACTTGCAGTTTGACCGGTAAAAGAAAATTCCTCCTATTCGATTCCTATTCAGTTATCTCCTCCAGCTGCTTTTGTAATCTTCAGTTCATCCATAAGGTTGGAAATCTAGTTATCTTCAAATCTCTTCATCCGGAACTGTACAGACTGTTTCCAATCCCACCATAGTGGAATTGCTGCAGTAGCGGTGAATTAAATCAGATTAGTTTCCTACTTCTTTTATTAGGTTAACTTGTACTATTGAAAATTGATGTCAATAATTTTAAAGTAAACTGAAAAAAAAATTAAGTTAAAGAAATGCCTAAAATTAAGATACTTAAGATTTTAAATTAATTATATTAATCAAAATTACTTGCAATATTGTTGAATTAAGGCTTTATTTGGGGTCCTGGTTTCGAAGCGTCATTGCATCCCCTGTTTAAGTGCAATATTTTATCTTAGGTATTGGGATGACAGAGGATTGAAGTTATTTGCTTATTAGTGGTGTATGCAATACTAAATTGTTTCCTTTAAAAGTTCTGTCTTTGTTAGTTTGTTATTTGTGCAATTCTTTAAAAATAGTTTCTGGTTAATTACTTGTGCTACCGGTGGTCGGATTACCCCTCCGGATTAATTTTTTGGGCTCGCAGAAATTTTGAGTTCAAGTGCAATTTAAATAGATTTTTTGAGAGACTTACCGGTTACCTGTTGTTAAAAAATATTTAATAGCATTTGTATTAACATAGTCAATTAATAGTACTGAAAAACTCCATTAAGTTCTGGAATGTGAATGAATATGATAGCAAAATCACTGAGTTCTAAATTTTTTTTTTTTATTTATTTATTTATTTTTTTTTATTTTTATTTTTTATTTTTACTTCCTGTACGAGTGAGTGTGTGTGGGTGATTATGGCAAAGCCTCGAGGGCTGTATGCCTAAAGGGGAGGATGCCTTTCGTGGAGGACTTCTAAGGGAAACTGGCTCGTATACACGTACACATGGGGAAAACCACGAAAACGCCCATGCAGCCAGCCCGTTCGCAGGATTCGAACTCGGACCGAACTACCAGTGTTGAGTGACTTTACCGCTCGGCCGCTGGTGGGGCCCTGTACGAAGTGAAAGGAAGTATTGTAATCGCGCGAAAATTTTCAAGCAGCATATTTCAACGAAAAAATTTTCACGCTATCGAATGCATTAATTTAGTAATCTTTTTTTTTTTTTTTTTTTTTTTTTTTTTTTTTTTGATGGCGGTCATTGCTCGTTTAAATTTGAAACAACAGAGTAGTGGATTTGTCGCCCCCAATTCAAATTTTGTTGCAACAAAAAGGTAACCTTCATTTATTATTGCGAATTAAATAATGCTTAATCCTTTCTGTAATTTTTTCGAGTAAATAATTGTTCAAGATTTACTTCGTAATTTTTAATACAGATATTTTAAGTTTTTATGTATTTTTGCCTTCTCGCGAAGTGAGAACTAAATTAATGAATGAGAAATACTCAATCGTCTGTGAAAAACTGTTTCTTTTTTGTTTTGTTTGCGTAATTTTTTTTATACATCGTTCTAGCTTTATTATAGTATTTGAATAGAACGTGTGGCAGCGATTAGACAATTCTTTAAATTATATAAATTTGTGCATTCTGAGTTATAATATGAACGAAATATAATACTGTTGTTAGTGAACTTAGCGCCAGAGTGTCGCTACGGTAAACAAATAGAGGGAAGTTTAAAGAATGCATTTATGCTATTGTGGTTTATGCCCTGTCGGCGAAGTAGATTTAATTCAATCCAATAAATTTAAACGAAATGCAAGAAAAAATTAGTATAACCTAATACTCCGTACAAGGGAGTCAAGTGGTGTACACATCAGATTTTTTTTATTTTGTTGTAATTTTCACCTTCCGAGAGAGTTGAGTAAATACCTTAACTTGTATAATTTGTGTTGAATATATTAGCTTAAAAATAAAATCAGAAGGTTATTTAAAAATTAAGATATGTGGACTGAATTTATGCATATTTTAATTGTGTGAATATGCTGCCTCGCCGGGTCGTTCAAACAAAAGTCACAACGCAATTAGTGTCAAGTTTAAAGGTTGAAATCAAGTATTGTATCTTCACGGCTTTTTACCGCTTAGAATGACGCACGCATCCAATGTTGCACGGTACCCTCATTTTTGTTTTACTTCAAGTTGTTACTTGAGTTGGTTTGGTTGAACCATTATTTAAATCGTCAGTACCTAACATTTAGTGTTGTGTGTATTCAGTAGTGGACATTTTCCTTCCCCTCCGATAAGTTTTTCGCAGTCTTTAATTTAATCGTTTATCATCTTCAAAAGAACAATTAGAAAAATTTGACAAGTATAATAAACAAAAATTTGTTTCTTATAAATTTATTCGCCTTACAGAATAAAAATATGAATCTTTTCACTAAAGAATAAAAAACGCAGTAAATTTAAGGGGGGTCAGGGTAGCTTGAAGAGCAGGTGGGAGACCCAATGCTTATGCCTATATAATGTGGATATAGTCAAACTACGCTAACTATTTAGACTGCAGCACAACGTAGGGCCCACAAGGCGCTAGAAAATCCTAATGGTTTCTTCAATTAAATGACACAGCAAATACAAAGACCTCATTTTCATTTTTATTCTAGCTTTAGAAATTTGTGCACTGCATTTTGGGGGGAAATAAGGATTACGTTAGAATTAAGTTCTGAAAATGTTCTCCTTTTCGATCTACACACTACTAGAATCAATTAATGAAATTCGCACAACTTTAGGATTTTCTTATATTAACAAAGAAATACAAAATAATCAGAACGCTAATGAAAGTTGTAGAAATAAACCCAGATGGGCATTTGGCTAGCAAGAAGTAACAAAATATGTCCAACTGACTCTGTCTTTTACAAGGACATTCGAACAGATGTTATAAAGCTATTAAACTGCAACGTCTAGAATGGTATTGTTCATTAATTTATTACACGAGTTCAGTACATGAAACACAATATTCATAGATTGCTATAACGTTTACTAAACATAAGGTCAATTTATTTAAGAAATTTTGATGATGTTATACGTTAACTATAATAAGAGCTCATGACCAAAACTATCAATGGTAAAATATCCGACATGGATATTATCTTTAGAATGTTTTATATTCTTTTTGATATAAAACCCCTTTCCTTGGAAGGCATCAGTATAATCGCACATTGTTATGTCAACTTTCTTAATGAAAATTCCAGAATTTTGCCTTTTTCCCTTTTACTTAGAGAATTGCTGTTTATCTCCTCCTGGTCTTCCCACATTCTAAAATTATTTGTGATTAAATTTTATGCAGTGTTTATGAAGCCCTTTCTCTCTAAAAATAGTCTTAATTCTGAAGCAGGTTCAGTTATGTATGCAAAGATTCTTATTTCTAAAATGCAGCATTTAAGTTTTGTAAATATATCGATCCTAAGTAATTTTGTTTTTGAAGCAATAACAGTAGCACGAGTAAAATTTAATTTGTCTGCGACTTCCAAAATATTTCGATGATATCCATATGCATACATATGGACCCTAAAATAGTTTTTCCATCATCTTTGCTTTTGCTTATCTAATAAAACTCAATGTCAGTAAT